TTTTACTTACCAGTCTACCCAAAAATTGGGTAATATTCTAATTCTGAAGCTAGAGTTTAACTGTGACAACTCTCTCGACTGTCATAACAGGACAAACTTTTGAAAAGAGCGGTTAATACCGAGGAGAAGAGAAAGCAGGACCAAAATTCCTACTCTCCCAGAGTAGAGATTCCTTGCTTCAACCTTTCCCTCTCCATCTTCTTCTTGGAGACGGGCTTGTTTTTCTTGGAGGGAGGGTCTTCTGGGCATACATGTAAAGCACATGGTTCCCAACGAGGAATATCAACAGTAATGACCCCACAAGCAGCAGCACTATCAATCCTGGGTTGAACCCTCTGGCTTCAGTTTCATAAATGATCTTGTTACCCTATTTCAGTGTGGAAAACAAATTAATCATCTAATGAGCACTGTACAAGGAAAAACAAAAGTAGAGCAGCTCATTATAATTATCTTCAAAAAAATTATCTTCAAAACAACGAAATTATAATTCGATAGCACCTTATTTGATAACTAAAAGATTGGCCTACTTGGTAGATTAAGACCCTGTTTCGTGTAATTAGAGTTTTTGACAAAAGCCCTACTTAAAAAAATTAGTTGTAAAAGTTCTATTTTTGAGAAGTCGAAGGTGTTAATGTTTGGTAAAATTTTTTATAAAATACTTTCAAAATGAAAAGTTTTTCTGATAAAGTTTTAATAAAAGATTTTTTAATTTAATGTAAAGCTAAAATAATTGAAATAGATATTTTTAACTTACCAAAGCACCATTCCCACTCCATTTTTATTTTATATAATTTTAATTTTTTAATTATCAATTTTAATTATTTTGTATTTATATTTTAATATTAAAAAATAAAACATGCTACATCATAATCAGTATAAAAAAATTGCTTTAAAGTAATATTAGAACAGGTCAATGTCGTATTTTAATATTAGAATATCATGGCTATGTTGTGGGGCCTCCTTTTTTTTTTTTGGAGAAATTGAAAATTTTATATAATAATTTAGTATAATTTACATTAAATACATGGACCATCCTGAATTAACAAAGAAAACAAAATATTAGGAGGCCTATGTGCCCAATACGAAGAACATTGCCCTTAAAGACATGAATGAGTCACCTAGTCCGCAACTCGATTTTCTTCCCGAGAAACAAAAGAGAACAAAAATTCAAGATGGAGATTACGTACAAAGCTATCTAATCCTCATAATAATAGACTGAGCCTCCCATAAAAGAGGTTTGTTAGGTTGTTGAAGACATGAAATTAATTCTTGGTTGTCAAATTCAAATACCACATAGTGAACTCCCACGTCTCCCACAAGTTAAACAGCTTTAAGCAAAGCAACCGCCTCAACCATAAGTGGAGAAATAGCCATACAAAACCAAGTCTTTCCAAAACAAATTTCACAATTAGAGTTGCGTCCAACCATAGCCAAAGCAGCAGAACCCAAATTAGGCATAAAAGAAGCATCCACATTGACTTTAAGGACACCTGGCGGAGGACTAGACCAAGAAGATTGAATCTGTTTGCCATTTGCCAACAACTTAGAAGGGGGAACCAACAAATCCTTACTCATGGATATAGAATACTCTTGGATCATAAATTTGAACCAACAAATTCCAATTTTGTTATTTTGTAAAAACAAATCAAATTGACCAAATTAATCAAGAAAAAGAAAAAGAAGAAATGCTCCACAAATAGATGGGTCCCCTCTGTGTGATCTAAAGTAAAAGATCACCCATCTTTTACAAGGCTGGGTGATTGTTTTACTTGTTATCTAATTTGATACACAAATATTAGAATGAAAATAAAAAGGATATAAAATAGGGGCAAGAGTGCAATCCAATCATAAAGTATACATAGAAATGCTTGGGGTGAAGGTTGTTAAAGCAAGTTGCATTTAGTTTACTTTGCCAAACTACAAACTTCTAGTGAATGGGTTAAACAAAAAACAAGTATACATAATTCACTGATGGGCACTGTTGCTTGCATGTTCCATCTCTTCTGCATCCTCAAAGCAATGATCATTAATTTGGAGTTGCAAGTACAAATTCTTATCAAAAGAGAAGCCATCAAGAAGGTAAAATATGGTAAGAAAATGATTTCTAATTAGAGGTTTAAACTTTAAATGCATAGCTGAAGCAAAAAGTAGAGGATGTTAAGGAAATAAAATTGTAGACAAAGCGCAATCATATTTGAGAACTCCAAACAAGTTAGCGGCCCACTTGAAGCACCGTATGAGCTAGGTCATGATCGCCACTTGAATGACCAATCAAGTTCACTAAATTATGATGGAATTCCCATCCAAAATCTTCTGTTTCAAGACATATTAGTTTGGTTATTAAAAGAAGCGTATATACAAAAAAACCATCAAGAAAAGAAAAATACTGAGAAGGCAGCTATCTCACCTATACCATATTTCTAGCCTCATCTTCTAACTGATTAGCACTAAAAACCCAACCATGTCCTTCTTCATCTTCTAAAACATACAAGAAACAAAGATGGTACATTGTTATTTTGTAAAAAACAGGTAATTATAGCCATACAACACCAAAATAAGATCTTAATAACTTTTCATCTCCACACTGAGTAGTAGCACTCACCATTAATTGGATCAGGATTCAGCTTAGGAGACTCAGAGAATATCTGAAATAGAGTGTCCACTATCAAGGAAGAAATCAAAAAAAAAGTCAGCATCGTCTGTTAAATAGCAAGAATACCAGAATAGAAGCAAACAAAGCAGAGACGCTCTAAAATAACACATTGTCCAACGTCTGAAGGAATAAGTGCATATTTGGTGAAGCTTCTTGGAAGAACTTTCTAAGTCTAAAAGCATAAGATCAACCAAACACCTATATCTTCCTTACGAGCTTGAGCTGTTGAGAAGCTGATTCGTGCAAGGGATGGTTTTTTTTTTATTGAATATTGAAAATTATGAAAAATATGAGATATTTTTTAAGGTATTAGTAAAAATTAAATTTTTAAACAACTAAATTCAAACATTTAAAGTTTGAGGACGATCTATTGAACTCAAAACCCCGATTCGTGCGAGGGATGGTTTTACGTCAGTGAAAATGGAAATTTCAATTAATGATATCTTTTGTATACTTAAAAGGGTGTGTTCGTTAATTGAATAAATGCAGTGCTTTTTATGACGGCAGTGAAAAGGATTTGACTAGCAAGCATCCACATCATCATCAGCATGTCTAAAATTACCAAATAAACATTAAATTAATGGATTGCTGATTCAAGATGATGTCAAATGTTAGATTTTGGTCGATTTGTACAACCAGGAATGATAATGAGGTGATTCAACCCCGTTTCGTCCCTAACGCCCAAACCCAACTTGGGAGCGGAATGGGGCATTCTGCCTCGCCGTTTTCCTGACGGCAATACCGAAGACTATGACCTCTTCTTCGTCTTCTCTCCCCCATTCCACTCAGATCAGATGCAAATTCATTGGTTCGAAATCACCCTCTTCCTCCATCCATCTCTGTATCTCCTATTGCGATTCTGGGTTTCGATCTTTCTACGAGGTATTCTGGGATGTCGAACACTGGCACCGATGATCATCACGAGGAGTCTAGCCCTCTATTGAGCAAGCAGGTTGAAGAAGATGGGAGCAAAGAGAGTTGCAACGACAAAGGCAATCGGCCCAAGGAGGGGAAAGTGGATGCAGCATCGGATTTGTCTAATCTTTCAGTGGGAGTTCGGTATAGTTGGGCCCCCGAAGGGCTGCCGTTGGGTCACGCGAACGTGGCTCGGGGACAGTGGGGCTCCTGCCTCTTCGCTTGTCTTGGCCGTAATGACGAGTATTGCTGCAGCGATCTAGAAGTTTGTGAGTCTGATTTCGTTAAAAAATGCTCAATTTTGTTAAAATTTGTTAATTTCTATATGTTTTCCCTTATAAGATGCTGATTAAGAGGGTAACGCATGATATTTGATCGGCCTAAATGATCATAGTAACATCATCTAGTCTTTGATGGCGCCAAAAGTGAAATATGGGATCTCTTCTGAAATCCTTGGGCTAATGGATTAGCTTTGAAGTTTATTACATTGAAAAGGATAAAAGGTTTAAGTGTTTGTGATTTTGGGGATTATATATCTTGAAATTTATTTTTATCAAATTTAGTTTATATGCTTATAGGCATTAGGTTGTTGCCTGATACCTCATGGATCATGGATGAATGTTAATGTTGGCCCAAGAATCATCTTCGAAGTCATGGACCTTTTCCTTTCTCTTCCCTATATCTTTTTGAGGGGAAAGGCTGTCATTGTTCAGTTGGGTTTCTAGTTCTTGACTCCTCCTGGTTTAAAGTGTTTCTTACTGCATTTTCATGTTTATCTTTTTCTCTTACATTTTTTGTTTATGGGATCTGGCTAGGTATCGTTGGAAGCACGGCCCCATGTGTGCTGTATGGAAGCAATGCTGAAGGACTTATATCTGGTCCCCAGACCTTTCGAAATCACTGCTTGTTATACTGTGGTCTGTGCCTGATTGGTATTCCGTGTTTCTCTTTGGGCAATCGCCTCTGCCTCCCGTCATGCTTTTCATTTCCTAACCGTTCTGCCCTGCGGCGGAAGTTTAACCTGGAGGTAAGTAATTCTCAAATCCTTTCTTATGCTTTTAAACTTTAATATTCCATGAATTAAGATGAGCACTTGAGTTAGGCATAGTATGTGTTAATTCTCTTTAGTTGTTTCAGGCATTACTTTTCTAGTACATTCGTCCCTTGTCAAAAATAGAAAAGGGAAAATTTATCATTTTTATACCACCGTGTTGTGGGATAAGCTTTTGATTGGTTTTTATGATAGTTTTTTTTGGTTGGTTTGGGGGGTGTGAATTAGGCAACAAAAGCAACAACTAATTATCCAGGAAACTAATTACCAAACATCTTTTCAAGGCTTATTTATGTTGAGGATACTTTGACAAACAGGGCAGCTGTGAGGCACTTAGTAGGTCGTGTGGCTGCTGTGGGAGCTGTTTGGAAGATGACGTGCAGCGTGAACATTGTGAATCGGTTTGTGACTTAGCAACCCATGTCTTCTGCCATCAATGTGCTCTTTGCCAGGAAGGACGTGAGAGTCGCCGAAGGATTCTTCATCCTGGGTTTAATTTTCAGCCTCTTCTGGCCATGATTCCGCCTGGGAAGCAAACCATGGGCAGCCGAGCCTGACTGCATCTGCTACAAGCCTGCCTGCTAATGAAACAGCTTTACCCTGTGTGTTGTTGTCAATACTATATAATGCTCTAGAATGATATGTTGAAACTTTATTCCTATCCTAAAAAAAGATGTTAAACTTTACCATATCATCTGTACTTGCCATCAGAGAAGTGAATGCTTGGTGTTGTCCTCATATGATGTATGATTAAAAAAATGTTTATGTTACCTTCCGTTCTGTTCATAAATAAATATTACTATTGTACCCTTGTCATTTCTCAAACAATATATAGCGTATAATCAGGCTCTATGCTTTCATTCATTTGATAGGGTGTCTGATTTCTATTGCTGTAAATGCTTGGTCTTGCCAAATTGAAATTGTTAAGGGACGGCAGTGTTAAGGGTTAACCTTTCCGTTGTTTTTGATGGGAGAGATTAGTAAAAGAGAGGAAATTTTTTTGGGTACTAAACTTTCGACATTCAAAAATCATATTAAGTCCCAACTAATTTAGATATTTAAAAGAAAACCAAATTTCTTTTACGGAAATTGACAATTTGTTGATTAAAAGAGAAAGGATAGGCAACAATTTTTGTTTACTTGTGGAGTGGGGCAGAAAAGAAGTTTACTTTGTCATGTCCTAGCCTCTCAGGTCCATGTTTTCCTATGCTATATGAATGGAAATAAGTATACCTCTTCCGTAGTTCACGGGGGAGATCTAATCTGGATATGAAGGGATCAGGTTCAAAGCCTGGTGAAATGGTTCAATGGAGGTTCAGAAAATGTCTAAATGGCAGCAAGAGTTAAACCACCTGACCTTCGGCCTTTAAATTCAGGCCCTCCTATGAGGGCGGCTTAATTCAATTTTTAGTTTATTAACTATCACCTTGATTTCATTTTAGTTTAGAAATTATGTTTTATTTCTAAATGGTCTATTAATTTTCAGATTTATTTCAATTTCGTCTCCTTGGTAAAAGATAACGGAAAACTTCTTATTCTGTTAGAGAACAGTTAGTCCTCTAACTATATTTTTTTTATCTTTTAATCCTCAAATATATACTTGTTATAAAAATAACTTTTATACTTAAAATTATTATTTTTAAGCTCTGATAACAGATTTTTATACTTAAAATTATTATTTCTAAGTGATCTATTAACTTTCAGGTTCTGATACCAAATTAAAGAAATAAGAAATCCCCATATAAAAATCTGGTATTAGAGCCTATAAATAATAATTTTAAGTAAAAAAATTATTTTTATAACAAATATAAATTTAAGGACTAAAAGATCAAAAAAATATAGTAACTGTTCTCTAACATAATAGGAAGTGTTCCGTTATTTTTGACCAAGTAAATAAAATTGAAATGAATCTGAAAGTTAATACACCACTTAGAAATAAAACATAGTTTTTAGACTAAAATGAAATTAAAATGATAGTTAATAGACTAAAAATTAAATTAAGCCCTAATTATGGGTTTTTCGAAGAATTCGACTGAATGGTCTGGACCATCAGAAACATAACTAACCTGATTCAAATGTACTGATGGCTGATGCTTTCGCGTAGTCAAGCTAACCATTTAAGCCGATGAACCATATTTGTTAAGGGGAAAACAAAGATAAACCCAGAATGATGGTGAAAACGCACTTCACAAGCACAAACCACTGCTTTTACTTACCAGTCTACCCAAAAATTGGGTAATATTCTAATTCTGAAGCTAGAGTTTAACTGTGACAACTCTCTTGACTATCATGACATGAGAAACTTTTGAAAAGAACGGTTAATACCGAGAAGAAAGAAAGCAGGACCATGATTCCTACTCTCCTGGAGCAGAGATTCCCTGCTTCAACCTTTCCCTCTTCATCTTCTTCTTGGAGACAGGCTTCTTTTTTCTTGGAGGTAGGGTCTTCTGGGCATACATGTAAAGCACATAGTTCCCAACAAGGAATATCAACAGTAATGACCCCACAAGCAGCAGCACCATCAATCCTGGGTTGAACCCTCTGGCTTCAGTTTCATAAATGATCTTGTTACCCTATTTCGGTGTGGAAAACAAATTAATCATCTAATGAGCACCGTACGAGGATAAACAAAAGAAGAAGGAAACAACCTGCAGCTCATTATGAGTCGAAAAAAATTATCTTCAAAACAGCAAAATTATAATTTGATACCACCTTGCTGATAAAAAAAATAATAATAATTTGATACCACCTTATTTGATAACCAAAAGATTAGCTTACCTGGCAGATTAATAACTGATTTTTAAGTCCACATAAAAGTTGTTACCAAAAAATGTTAAAATTTTAAGTCAAGGGATAGACTAATATTAGTAATCATATACCCCTTCACATGGCTAGAACTTTTAACCCAGAAGATCCAATCAACTTAACACTGTAATTCCTTCTAAGGTGTTTGAGTAGAAGACACCCAACAAGCTCAATTTTTGTGTGCATGCCAATGACTACATTTTTCTGCTATGTACCACACATTGGTGGTGCTCTAATTCATTGCGGCCTATAAGACACCTCCAACAGTAAACACAGACTTGCAACACCAATGAAACATTTAAAGTAAAATAACTGCTAAGAAATTTACTTCAGACATTCGATCTGGAGACAGCCAGGTATTAAAGAACCAATCAAAAGAAATGCATCGTGCAAGTCAATGCAACTCAGTCAAAATATCGAGAAATTCCACTTGAACAGAAGATTAGGCTTCACAATTTTCTTAATCAACATCATTTAGCTACCTAGAGCCAGAAAGTTGTCCCAGTTTATTATTATTATTATTTTGTCTCCTTTAACTTCAAATTACATTAACAGTCACTTCATATTATCTTCACAACGTTTCTGTGGTCTAAACTACTAATTTAAAATTGAATTGCATTAACACTTTGCCCGAGATCAGGTGGTAAAAAAAATCTTATAGGAAATAGATTTTTTGATGTTTCAAATAATGCAGCGAAGCAGATGAAGAGTTTACAAATTCACTAAATATATAACACTTTCTATCCCATTTACACAGCAAAGTATAATCCTCGGTACCTGGTTCGCTACATAAACGTCAACAAGCAATTATCATAGGATCCTTTGCAGAACCGCAGGTAAAAACTTGAGATTTCATTCAATTGGCTCTACTTGCCCAACAATAGAGCATATTATCCGGCAAAAAGAACAAGCATTCAAGCAACAATTTAAAAATTCCTAATAAATTTTCATCAAAGACATAAGGAAGCCATAGATTCAGCACAGGATCACATTGCTCGGCAATAAGTAATAAGAATGCAAAATTTTCCGATCGCCAGACAATCAACATGCATAACGCCTAATTACAGCTCAAACACTAATTCGTCGAGCGTCGGAACGCTAGATCACCAAGATATAATACATGAAACAACGAAGGAGACCTCGATCTTTTCAATCTAATTAAAGGTTCAATCCCGTAATACATGAAAGAACGAAGGAAACATCGATCTTTTCAATCTAATTAAAGATTCAATCCCAATGACATAGATCTTTCAGGTTAGGGAATGAAATTGACATTTACGTAGAAGCGGGCGAAGTGTACCATTTCGTGAAATGATGGAGGGACCTTATCGGCGAACTCGACCTCGTCCTCCATGGCTACAGGCCCGAGCGGGGGAAATCAGTCCTCAGCGGGCACCGTAAGGATTCGCCGGAGAAGAAGGTTCGAGAGAGAGGGGAGAGCATTAAAGTGAAATTACTGCACGGAAATTGAGCTGCAGAGGGAATTTATTGCGGAGGGATTATTTTCCTTCTTTTGCCGTTTTACGTATCTGCAACTCGTTTCCTGTATTGAACCGGATCGTGCGCTGGGCTATAATAAAGCTCAAACTAGGCTTTTTTTCACTAGGGTAATCAATTTTGATCTTTTGCAAATGTTATACTGGGGCTTAAAATTATAAGTTTATAATTGGCTTAATTCAATTTTTAGTCTATTAACTAT